AGTTTCAGAAAAAGGTGGTTTAAATTTTATAGCTAAGATCTAAAAATTATAAAAAAATAAATTTTTTTAAAAAATAAAATTTATTATTTATTATATATAAAAATAAATTTAATTTAATATATTACTTGTAATGCTTCTTGTGTACGTAAAAGAGTTGTACATATAAAAAATAAACTATTCCATCTAGTTTCACAAGGAGCTGAAATTGTATAAATTTTCCGATATATTTCATATTGTTGATTGTGTAATTGACCAATAAAAAATTTGTTATTAGCACTTCGAAAATAATTAGCAAGTTTAATTCCTTGATCAATAGTTTTTTTAGTAATAACGATTCTTTAAAAATTTCTCTTACACACAAATTTAATTGATGAGCGAAACAAGGAAGAAAAACTATCGATCTTCTTGAAATTCTTAAATGGCGTCTAAGTATAATAATTTAAAATATAAATTAATAATTTAATTAAAATATATTATATGTAATAATAATGTTATAGAATAAAACCTATACTGTGAATTAAGTACATACATAGTAAAATCTGCTACATAGATCATATGAGAATGAAATTCATTTATTCATAATACGTACAATAATAAAAAATAGCTAAATGCAGATTTTGCTATGTAACAGATTTTACTAATTTATAATGAGAATACGTATATATAGTATGTAATTACCTCGCAGCCACATAAGCACCTGCACTATCTGTAACAATTACATATACTTTAATATCTATTAATTCTAATTCTAAAAGCATTGATTCAGTTTTATTTATAACTTCTTGATAATTTTCACGCTCAGAGCTAATATTAATAGCTTTCCAAACATAAGGTTTTCCTTCAGATGATAATAAAACAGTTCCTAGAAGATGCTCATTTTTTACATTTGTCCATCTGTCGTAAGTTAAAGTTATACATATCTTATCTTTTTTTAATGCAATTTCCATATTTTTATTAGTCTCATTAACAATTTCAGTTAAAACTTGATTGCCTAATTTACGACGATCTGAAAGTACAAGAAGAAGATTTAAAAATTTAAAACATGCTTTTGCTTCAGGATTATTTACCCAAAATAAAGACCATTCACAAGAAACTGTCATTTTAAGCAAAAGCTTGTTAAATTGTTTAGCATTTTCTTTTGATAAAGCCCGAACAGCATAGTTGTCAATTGGACCAAAAGCTTCTGAACGAACTACCACTTTTCTAGATGAATCTGAAGATCGTTTATTATCTAAAAAAAGTATAAATTTTATATTTACAAATATAGATCAATTTAATTAAAATTTTATATACATACTTTTTTTTTTGTAGATGAATTGTTATCTGGAATTAGTTCAAATATTTCAGCTTGTTTTTCAGCTGTAGTTGCATTAAGGAAATGTGGACATTTTTTTAAATGTAATATAATTCGGTCTTTTTTATTAGGAAAATAGTTCCTTTTTTCTTGTTCTTTTCCTAACGCATTAATACAATATTTGCAATAAGTTTGTAAATTACTTTGATTAATTTTAATATTTGATTTTACAATACAATCATTTAGTAAAGTAGGCAAAGGCGGCATTGTTAAAAAGAATACAGGTAAGGAAAAGCGAAAAAAAATTTCAATATATAGCTGCTTATTACATATTATGAATATATAAAAGCTGTATAGAACTTGCTTTTTTAATTCTAGGTTCTTTATTGTGCTTGCAAAATTCTATATTCTCCCAAAAAAAACAATCAATTTCTAATTTCTGATTTCTGATTTCTGATTTTTTTTTATTTATTTTTATTCTATAATATTTAAAAGGATCAAAAAACAGGAATTAAAAATTAGAAATCAGATTTTTTTTTTTTGATAACGATAATTTTTGGAGAAAATACAGTATTTGTAAACTGCAACAAATAATAAAGATTAGAACAAATGTCTAAATTAAGACTATACTCTGATTAGCTATCATATAATATCAATAACTTATATAATAATACGTATCTATATTTTCAAGCAAATTTGGTTTTTATTTATGCACTAAATTTATCACTAGATCAAACAAAAATATGAATAATACCTTATACATATTATATCAAAGTGAAAAATCATGTATGTATGTTAATATGTAGCAAAACCTGTTATCAAGCTTTCAGTATGTTTTGTACTGGATACAAGCTCTAAATTATGGATCTGGTATAAAATATAATTAGAAGCCAGGTGACAGGTTTTTCTTCAGTGGCACTGGTATTCATAAAAATTTAGCACAATAAAAACCCGTAAACAAAAAATTCTCATGACCTTTCTTGCCTACTTCAAAATAAAAAAAATGTATATAATTAGCAGATAGAGTTAGCTATTCTTCTGGTAACTTCTAATATAATTATAGTTTCTGCCATTACAGAATACCATTGCTATTTTTGCCAACTTTGTAATTAGCAAATTATTTATTTTTTTTTTATTACTTGTAAATTAAAATTTTTTTAAAGCTAAAACTATTTTCTCTAATTGAGATGATAAAAATTGAATAACTCGAATATATCAGGTTTGAATTAAAATGTGAAAATCGTTTAAATTACAGGTTTTCATGCTAATTTGGATTAATCAATTCTTTGAATTATTATACATACATCTTTTGTGCAATTGGGTATTATCATCTTGCATAATTATATTTATCTTGTATAAAGGGTTCAGCATTGACAATTGTGGCAGATTAAAATGAAATTAGATTAAAATGAAATTTTGTATAATACAACATAGACAAGTTTCCAAAAAATACAAAATTTTAGGGGGTTTTTTTTAGCGTTAGAGGTCAGCTTTAGAGGTAGAATTTATATTAAACAAGTATAAGTGGGTTTTAGGGATTAAATAGAAACTCTAAATTTCATTTTAATCTGATTTCATTATAATCTGCGATAATAATTAAGATCTTTCTAACCTGTTGAGTAATTATTGCGATTTGCAAAATTCTGTATCCTTCCAAAAAATTTATTAAAAAAAACATCAATTCCTGATTTTTAATTTCTGATTTTATATTTTTTTTCTTATTACATAATATTTATTGCAGTTTGCAAAATTAATCACTAATTTTCGATTACTGATTTCTGATTTCTTCTGACTTTTAGATTAGACAAAATTTGTGTATCTATTATTTGTAAAAATTTATTATGTTC